GATTCTACCTATGCTTACATTTTAATGCAATTTTTGTAATACAATGTTTCATATATATGTAAGGTGATATGTATGCACAAAATGGAAGGCTAGGAGTTAGATATGTAACTATGTAAGAATTAGAAGTTTAGGTGTTAGAAAGATTGCTCCCTTCCTAAATGAAAATTGAAGTAATAGATATTAAACTCTTTTACACTTATGATCCAAAATTTGCTTTTGTGCTGCTCGTTTACAATTCGAGTCGGCTCAAAAAATGAATTGACCAATGCCAGTTCAGATTAAAATTTAGTTGGATCGATCAACGATCAGATTTTGCACTAATAGTAGGTTTGAAAATTTAGGGCTTAGTGCTTTGAAATGTTATGATATACATGTTAGTAACTTAGGGCTTTTAAAGTTTATGTCATACATGTGGTACATAGGGTAAGTTATGAATTTAGCTCAAATAACGACAATCACTTGAAAATTAATTTTAGATCAATTTTTTTTAGTCTACTTCACTTGGCTTGAAATTGGATTGTTTAACATCCTACTGATGTTAGGTATGTCAAAGATTGTTGATAAATCTAATATTGATATTAAAACTAAACATAATCAATTAAGAACTAATTGGTAGTTCAAATTAATATTTATTTATTTTGGTATTTGATTGGATTTAAGTTAGATCTATATGTTAAATCCATTAGGACACATCTCCCTAATATTATTTGTCACAGTAGCTACAACATTCCTTTCACGGATATATTTTTTTCATATTTTTTATCTAACTGTAAAATAAATCATAAACTTAAGCATTATCTTCCCCACAACTTTTTACTATATTAATTGCACACTTCTACACATATTCTTAGAATGAAATACTTCATATGATGTAAGAGTGTTCACTGTTTTTTCCAATGAGAAATATATTTCCATTGACAAAATAGAATATCACTTCAAAGTGAATTTCCATTCTTGCAATGAAAATTAGATTTCCCACTAGAGGATGAAGTGAACACTCTTACAACATGTGAGGTATTTCCTTTTAAGAACATGTCTAGAGGTGTGCATGTAATTTAGTAAGAATTGTTGAGACAATAATACTTTTGTGGATGAGTGAAGGAAAACGTGAGAAATAAACTCGTGCAAGGGTTAGTGTAGCTATAGTGAAAGACAAGGTTAGAATAAAAAATTCAAATCAATTTCTGACAGATTATCAAGTTACAAATTCAAATCAATTTCTGACTAATTATCAATCTTCGATAGCCCTAACATCAGTAGGTTGTTAGCATTCCTCTTTCTAGCCAAACTTGGGTCGGCTAGAAAGAAATTTGATTCAAAATTTTGGTTCGTAGCTCGACTCATTTATTTCAATATGATCTTTATCCAAGGCAAAATAAATTCAATCAATTTTTGAGTGATTAATGTTATTCGAGCTATCTAAAACATTTAGTCCTTTTAATGATTTCATCACCCATTATTATAACTCTGTCATTATCTAAAATTAAGTTCTATATATTCAGTTGAATGCATTTTATAATGTGTTGATTGTTGTAAAGTTTGAAGGTATATATGGATATTTTTATATCAAAATCATAGATCACCAAAGAGTTCTTGAATGGTGTAGAGGCCTTCATGGATACATCATCACAACTTCCATCTTACCAATTTGAGGGTAGGTTTTGATGTCCATATTCAATACATAGGAATCGAGCACATATAATTCCTGAAGAAAGATATGATTTATATCATATGAGGGTTTCAACCTAATTACTAGATCTGGACTTTACAAGAGGAAGTTGTCCCAACCACATTCAGCTCTGGTCCTTCGACGAGCTATGATCCTCCACCTAGATTTCACTCAAATTGATTTGAAGAAATGATCCTTGATGGGACAAAGTATCATTATCCAAGTCAAGTGGAGCAAGAACACCAAATTAGGAGGCTCAAACGTTTTATAATTATCAATTTGTGAGTGCCTTCAATCATGAAACTTTATGAGCAAATTTGCTTCAAATTTGAGTCGTCATAATGATGTGGATGCATGAAAGATATTTGGAATGAAAAACAATGACTGCCATTTTATCCTCCAAAATTTGATTCTAACTGCATTTAACTGTTTGCTGAGCAAAATTTTAAATCCATTGTTAGAAATATGTGTGTTCTTCAAGAAGATATGTGCAGCTCGTGTGAATGTTGATAACATACGACAGTTAGAGGCAAACATTCCAATAATATTATGCAAGCTTGAAAGAATATTCACACCTAGTTTTTTTTTATTCCATAGAGCATCTGCTAGTACATTTAACTACTTGGAGGACCAGTGCGGTATCACTAGATGTATCCATTTGAGAGTTATGTAGTAACACTATAAATTATGTAGTTACTGCTTCGTAAATAATATTGTCAAATTGTGTTAAAAAATAATTTATTTACAAATTTTTTAATAAACTGAAGCGAACTATGAAGAATTGAGAATGACCAAAATGATTCAGATGTAAAGCATATTTACTGCAGGAGACCACCACTTTTTGCTCCTACTATTCCATGCAAAAAGAGTCCACATCAACTGGTGTGGTGCCTCCCTCTACACTTTCTGTTTTTTAGCAGTTTGGTGAATCTTCGGGGAGGTGAACATCAATTTATCTCAGTGTCTAGAACTTTGAGCAGTGACCCTTTATGTTCTTCAAAATTGCGACAAAGTCAACACTTTATTGAGTAAGAAACTAGATTATATTAATAGTTTATCCTTTTGGGTGGAAATATTATAATAAGCAAATTGATAAATTTCTTAATGTGGTAACATTTTAATTTTAGATTTGCTGAGCTTAGATGAAGATGATATCACAAGTCACGAAAAAAAAAATAATTTTCCTCGATGGTTTATGACACATGTAAGTTAGAATTTAAAAAGGTTCTTAATCATCTAAAATAATTATTTAGGTATCTTCAATGATACATGAGTTTTTATGAATTACTAGATTCATGCTCGGAACAATGAAGTGACGCATCAAGGCTTGACATATCTTGCTTGAGGACACATTCACATCGTGAAAATTTGACAAATTTATGTTGTGAATGACTACAAGTTTCATTTGAGGTCTTGGTCAGAATAAAAAAAGACTTTTAATTACGGAGTTTGTGTTAAAGCAAATAAATCAATCGGACGACGAGATAAATTAATATGGGATTCTAAAGGAATTTGTTAAACTACCTCACTTGGCTCTATTGGTGGGAGTGCATTTCTGTTCAACTGTAATTGGTTTGATCATGTTCTTGATCATAGAACAAGAGTAATCTAATCGTATAATATCACAAAAGTAAAAGTGACAGAATATATGGTAAATTTGATCCGTTCATTTCAGCAAGGCAAGAAAATTAGATATTTTATTTTCCTCCTTATAGAATAAGAGATAAAGTTGAGTGAGAAGTAGTCATATCGGGTAAGCCTATAACGACTATTGATATTCAAAATTCAATTGAACCGTTTATTCAGAAATAGATATGACAGATTTATACATTCCACTCGATACAATCCATGAAGAAGTTAGTTTAGAGGATGCTGGTGGCAAACACAGAAATTTGTATCGATGAGTACGATTTTGATAATTCTTTGAACAAAGTGATTTAACTATATTCTCAAATGACTCTTCAGAAGAGGTTAACTAAGATGTGTATATTAATCCAATTACGTAATTTTGTGTTTTTCAATTTTAAGAGTGTAGATTGCACTTTATAATTTTATTTTGTGTTTACTACGTACTTCTGTGGTTTCAATTTTAATAGTTTGTAGATTGCATTTTATAGTTTTTCTTTTTGTTTACTGCGTACTCTTATGCTTTCAGTTTTAGTATCATGTAGATTACATGCAATTTACTATTGCCCTTTCTTTTTACCAAATACTATTGTATTTTTAGTTTTAGTAGTCTGTAGTTGTACTAATTAATTTTACTTTTGCAGAAGAGACCGTGGATGTAGTACTACAAAGGCAATCCTTGCAGTCGACTTGCCCCACCAAGCCTCCACCTTGACTCCCACCACACCGACACCGCATCCAGTCACAACTACCACACCAGCATAAGATCGTCTCTACTCTAACATGCTTTTCAACTTTAGTTTTCCCATTTTAATATTTTTTTGTGTTTACTTAAGCTATTTTATTTTGAGTTTGGGTAATGTTTCTCATTTTTGATTCAATCAATTTCCTACTTTTCTTTCAATTGCATCAATGAATTATTCAATATTCAATAAAATTTATATTTTTCTTTCTATTTGCATGCAAATTTTTCTTAAAGAATACAAAATAAATTTATTTTATTTCATAATACCCTACATTATCAAGATATATCGTCTTTTGAACCCGAGGTGTAACAATAAAAATGTCATATATAAGTACATAAGAATTGTTCTCCATGTAAATCCACTTGTATATATTTTATTTCAAAAAAGAGTTTAAAATACTAGGACTATTTTAAAATAATTTTCATTTTTACTTCTCTCATAAAAAATATATTTCAAAATATCTTTATTTTAAATTTTAAAATCCACTTACCCGTGACATAATAATTCAGAATACAATTTATCACTATACACATATTACCTTGTAAACTCACCTTTCTCAAAAAACTCAATAAATAAAATAAATAAATATATATATATTTTAAATATTTTGAATATTTTTTAAAATAATTAACATTAGAGCCGCAACCTTTCATCATCAACCACTATCCATTAGATATTACATATAATTTAATCTGAATCAAACCAAAAAATAAAATAAATAAGAAATAAAATTTGATCAATGGGAGCAATACGCTAAAAATCAATCATTTTTGTACACCGTTGAGCCCTATAAAAAAAATACCCATCCAAATTATCGGCTCCTTTTATATGCACCAAAAAAAAAATAAATAAGAAGGGCCGCTCCAAAGTTTCATATAAATCATATTCTAACAGCTAAATCTCATGATTCAAATGTACAAACAGCCCTACAACATTACATTATTGAGCACAATTCAACCCCCTTTCAATTGCTACCAATATGTTTGAAACTAAATTACAGCCGAGCTGCTGAAACCAATAAATGAAAGAGCAAAAAAACGTTACAAGTGAAAAAAAACAAGCAAAAATAACTTATCTTATTTACAAAATCGTTTCGAAAGCCGTCCCTTCTCTTTCTCCAGAACTCCATCGAGTGAAATAAACAATAATCTGTGATCTGCATCAACTATCAAGTTAAGAAAAAGCGAGAAGGAAAAACATAATGATAGCAGCAAGAAATAATAATAATAATAGATGCATACCACATTATTACAGGGGAATTTTGGCTGCAAAAATGAGTAACAATGCCAATTTGCAGATAATTATATAATAATAACTTCATGGTTTTCGGCTTAAGAAAGATCAAATGATCCTTGTCCTTCATATATGGCATATAAGAGTTTCTTGTACATAATTTCCTGCAAAAAGACGAGTTGTCATAGCAGCGAGGGTGGGAGGATTTTAGAAGGGAAGATTTATATACATACCGCTCAATTCTTATGTGTTTACATATCTAACACGTAAAATTCAATGTTTACATACATAACACCTCACCTATGCATTAGAAGGTGTATTAAAAATATTAAAATAACAGTATTTTTTATGTGATACGAAAGATTTGGGTTGTATACATGTAAAAAATAAACTTTAGGTGTTAGAAATGTAAATACATGGCAATTGGGTGGTATGTATGTAAATGCCCCTTTTAGAAAATAGAGAAAAATGCTTGGAGTAGAAACCTTGGTGGAGTAGGGAGGGAGCTTGAGAAAATTTGCGCAAGTCATGACACTTGGCAAGTCATCATCAGCAGATTCAGATATTACGGATCCATTGGATGCAGTATTTGTTGTGGTTGAAGAATGCTACCAATAAGTGGAATTATAAATAAATTTAAACACAAATACAAGTTAGTGCGTCAGCAAATGAGTAAAGAATAAGAAGGGAAAAGACAAGCAACTCATGTGTAACAGTGCATATAATCAAGTAATTTGATTTCATTGGAAAATCTAAACTAAATATTATAATAAATGTGTGGTTTACAGTGTTCTATCATGTAAAGCTTCAAAATAGTCCTTTGACTACTTACATGGGGGTCATTTTAGTTCCAATCTATAAAAGTGTCAAATTAGTCTATGTACACTTTTATTATGGGTTTAAATAGTCCTCCTATAAGAGTCTAGGGATTAAACTGACACTTTTATAGAGTCTGGGGCGGTATCATTTTGACACTATTTTTGTGTTTTACCATACAATTTATTTATTTATTTTTAATAAAGCATCATGGCAGACACATTTCATACAAATTGCTTGTACAAAATGATTCAGAAATTCGTTTTTTATGTGAAAAATTAATAAAGAACGGGTGAATGGAAATACCTTCCTCACTATCGTCAGTTTGGGGTTTAAAGCAGCTAAGCCACCGGGTGGAAGCCTGGGAGCACCAGTCACAAATTGGCAAAAAGCATACTGCTGCTCTGGAGAGAACTCAGCCATAATCTCAAGCAACTAAAGCAAAAGATCAACAGAACATGAGCAGCTATTAAATTAAAAAATTATTAAAAAGAAAAAACACAAAGGAATGGAAGGAAGTTAATAGGTACACACATTGATAATTGCAGGACTTTTTGCAGTGTATCCATGATCAAATTTGATATGATCAGCCAGTGTTTCAGACTATAGCATGCAAAAACACAATTTCAAAAATTTTGCGGGGTTAAAATGAAAAGATTTAAAAAACGTTGAAAAATGGCTGAAAAGGGTAACTTACCTCCCACAATTCTCTGCGGCCACAAATGAGATAATCCAATTCATGTGGAGAGAATATTTGTAGATGAGAAATGTCAAAGACCTGAATGAATTGTCAGGATAGGTTATAAGAGCAAATATTTCACATTGGCATTTTAAGTATGCATGCATAAAAAGTAACAGAAGAAGTGACAAACTGGTGCAGAAAAATAAAATAAAGATGTAAATGTAATTTTTTTTTTCTGAAAGATTTACGTACAAACCACTTAATTGTTATGTATTTACATATCTAACACCTAACCTTTAATTTTTCCATATGTACCCCACCTTACATATACATGAATGTGTATTTCACTTTTTAAAAGTTAAAATGATGGTAAATTTTATATGATATGAAAATTTTGGGTGTTATAAATGTAGAAAACAAAGTTCAGTTATGAGATATGCAAATATATAGAAATTGGGTGGTATGTATGTAAATGCCCCCTTTTTTTTGTTGAGGATTTATTTATTGTCGGCGAGATTAAAACCAAGAACTTGGTAATAATTTTATAAGTTGGCATGGAGCTTCAGTGTCACGGGATTTTTCGGTTTTGACCAGTCCAGGAGAGTCGATCGACGCTTCCTCTTTGTGGATTTCCCTCCTATTTAGAGCGAGGCCCACTCCTCTTACCCTAAGACCATATATTTGTTAGTTATGCGTGTTTAGGTCAGTTTTTCATGTATTTCTATTTAGGATAGCTGTCAGCTTCCGGTGTTTTCCTGTTAAGGAGATATCTGAAGATAAGAAGGTGCTACGACTGTAACTCGTCCGAAGCAGTGACTTTCTCCAAGGGTTCATGTGGTGCTCTAGCTATAGTTCAATCCTGCGGGGATATTTATCTACCAAATTCCTCCACAAACTTTCCAGCCACCCCCTCGCTGTCGTAGTCCCCAGACATACCTTCCATTTGCTGTCACACATTCCTCCACCCTCCCCCTTTGCCGTCCCGTAGGACACTGTCCCAACCCTCCACTTTGCTGTCCCTCACTGTCCCAGCCCTCCACTTCACTGCCAATGCAATTTCATCCCCTCCTTTTGATGTCCCAATAACCCAAAACCCATTTCAACCTCATACCATTAGTCCCCAACCACCTAGCCGATCTCCATCATCCCATGGGTCGAGCTCTAGAGTGCATTTATGTCATGTTTGTTGTTAGTCCAATCATAGGGATTTTAGCATTCACTCATATTCAACCACACCTCCACACAACAATCCTCCCACTGCTGATTTTTCAATCCAACCACCTAAACTTTTTGTTTTCCACCCTACATAATCCATATACACCCTTTTCCACATAACCAAACCCAAACCCTAACCTTAATCATGCCACTGAGAATAAAATAGTAGAAAGCCGATCAAGAGTTTACCAAGGAAAAGATACAAAAAAATCCCCCAAGTGTTACAATGGCTTAATGAAATTGAGGAAAGAAAACCATCCAGACACGTCACCTGTAGCTACAATGGTGACTTGGTAGATTGAAGGAATTGAGTGAATCTCTTGCACAATATAGATATCAGGGATGAAGAACCTCTACCCCAATAACTTGAGATATCTGAGAAACCAAAATTTTGAAGTAAATGTGGGTTTGTCATATTTCGATAGACACAGATCCGGATCACTTCATTTAGTGGCTCTGAATTTTGGAATGTGCCTTTGTATAGGGACATCCCACCGGAAGGAATGTTGAAATTAGTCTCCAACAGCTTTAGGAAGAGTGCATCTCAATGGTGAGCGAACTTAAAGATTCTTCGACATCGAGAAGGGAAGACTAAAATTACTAATAGGTTCAAGATGAAATGGAAGTTGCAACGTTAGTTTCTACCAGCAAACTAAAGACTGATTGTTTGGGCCCCAACTCAAAAGTAGAGAGACTACATCACCAAGAGCCATCATATCTTAAAGGCAGGGTTCAACCCCAGAATCTTGAAGTAAGAGTACATCCAGGGAAAATCCAAGTCGCCCCGCCTGAGGGGAAATTGATTTAGAATAGAGATCATGTGAAGCGAACTAGTATTTTAAAATCTATCATAGCCAGAAAGTGTTTTAAGTGCCACGGATTTGGGCAAATTCAGATTGCATAATCAGAGAAAAATTTCTTTCACATATCAAGGAGCAATTGAAGAAATGAACATTGACACAGTAGTCACGGAAGTGAGCAAGGGCAAGAAAGAGGAGTAATAACTAACAACCAACGAAGGAGACACCATCAATTCCAGTTGAACCAATGAGAAATATTTTAGCTAAATTGGTAATAACTATTCTAGAAGGTTCATGCAGCGCATGAGATTTGGGTACCACGAACAACATTTTTTCAAGTATTCAAAGGAGCATAAGAAAATATTGACATTGGATATCCGAAAAGGCCATGAGTTTGAGCTGATACTAGACACAGTGCAATTTCAGATAAGACGATTCAAAATTTTCAAATCTATAGCCTACCTCTTTAAGTGTCTCTACTGAGGGAAGTTCAACATGTCAAAGATGAGAAAATTTTGAGCTACTTCTGGAAGACAATAAGGATCCATTTGACAATTAAAATCGGTTCAACAGTGTACCTCTAGACAGAGGATCAGCAGGATGGATGAACCGCAATGTTGAAGACGACCTCACGATCTTTTTTTTACAGTGGCTCTTTCCCAAGATGTCTCTCCTGAGTGGTTAACGTCAATGGGGGTCAGACTACCAGAGATGTTCCAAAGTGGACCTGTCCTGACAACCCAGTTTATCAAATACATTCAGTTGAGTATGAGTGGGAGAAGCAGATTATAGATTTACTTGAATGGGATTTGGCTTGTTAGAACCTTTGGCTCGTGAGAACCTACATCATTATACAGCTTTTGCTCAAATTGTGTCGAGATAAAATGAATATTTATTCTATCAGGATGTGCTTTGGAGTGTCCACACCTAGAGAACTGACTTGAAAAAAGATTATGATAATTTTGATACCTTCGACGAGGCCGACCGAACCACTTTAGAGAGACAGAAGCTTTGACATATGAGGTTGAAGCTCCCACAACCTCAAGAGACTAACATGGAGCTCCCCGCAAGTTCAGCAAGACCCCTATAAAGTGTTTCTATCCTAGCTAAAGCCCCACGTGAAGCTGTCCCGCAGGGAGCCATCCACTATCCCTGCTACACTGCCACAGAACTTTTCAGCTCCGAATGGTCAAAGGGCAGGTCGACACTTCCTCTTTATGGATTCCCTTCCTATTTGGAGCGAAGCCACTCCTCTTTACCCTAGGACTCTATATTTGATATTTTTGTATGTTTAGGTCAATTTTTTCATGTACTTCTGTTCATGACAGCTGTCGACTTCCGGTGTTTCTCTATTAGGGTTGTATTCGAAGGCGAGAGGATGCTTCGACTGTAACTCGATTCTACGGGTATATTTATCCTTAACCAACTCCTCAACCTTTTAAGTCATCCCCCTTACTGCCGCATTCCCCGAACAACCCTCCCATTTGTTGTCCCGTAGTCCTCCACCCTCCATCTTCACTGCTCCTTTTGCTCAGCCCTCCACTTCATTGTCCCTTGCTGTCCTAGTCGTCGGCCGCTACTATCTCAAAGCTTCTGCTTCGCTGTCGATGCAACTCCATCCCCTCATTTTGTTGTCCCAACAACTCACAGCCTATTTCAACCTCCTACCACCACTTCTCGACCGCCTAGCTGATCTCCACCACCTCACGGATCGAGGCCTAGCATGTGTTTGTCGTGTTTGTTGTAATTTCCCTTTCGAACATGTTTGTTTGTGACCGCCTATTTGCTTTTAGCAAAAACACTTTTCCGATTGTGGTTTGGGTTTAACTCTGGTATCAGAAGCACTTAACAACCAAAAAAGCCAGGCTATCAAAAGAATGTACAATTCAAAGAGTTAAAATTCAAACATTAGTCTTTTCAAAAATTGGGTTAACCCTTATACCAATTTTAACACCCTTAAACCATATGCATTTGAGAAGAAATACTAATGAATGAATGGCTTAAAAAAATTTTTCTTGTAAAACTTTGTGAAAAGTGCTCATCAAACTATTTCAATCTTGGCTGATTTCCATTTGGTTAACCCTTTCAATACCTTAGGATATTGTAATGTAACTTTTCTTGCATATCTCACATCTTGTATATTTAAGAGATCAACTGAAATGTTTAGTAGCTAATTTCCCTCATTCATCACCAAAATTTAAGAGACTTTTATATCGCTTTTATTTTAAACCTTTATATTTGTGCCAAACAAAACATAGTGGAGCTTTATAAAGCTCGATTTGTTCAGGTGCATCTATGAGATCAAGCAGTGGGTGACCTTGCTCTTAAATCAATATTGTATAAATAGTTCAATAAATCAATTTTAGTGATCAATTGAAATATTTAGTAGCTAATTTCCCTTATTCATCACCAAGATATAAGAGACTTTTATATCAAAGCTTTTATTATAAACCTTTATATTTGTGCCAAACAAAACTTAGTGGAGCGTTATAAAGCTTGATTTGTTCAGGTGCATTTGTGAGATCAAATAGTGGGTGCTCTTGCTCTTAAATCATATTGTATAAAAATTTCAATACTCCATAGGACTTCATAAATTCTAACTAAATTGTTTCCTCGTTTCAATACTTCAAATAACCTTATCCCCAACATATTTGGTAGTGTTAGTTCGATAAATACACATTTCCAAAAAATGGGTTATCTTGATCCATGGGCTATAAAATGTCTTCATTGACCTAAAAAAAAAAGAAACAGAAATGTGTGTTTGATGATGACACCTTCAATGAAGAACAATTTATTTTATTCTCAGGAAGAAATAATATGTCCAAATGTTAAAGATATTTTCTAGAGATAATAAAGGAATAATCCACAAAAAACACTGTAGATGAGGAAAAGGAACATGGTTGAAAAATTGCTATGTTTGTCATTTGTTAGCTCACAAATAACATAGCTCAAATTTTCAGTATTGATTTCCTTACATAGTAAAGAAACATTATTTTAAGAATAATAAATTATGGGTAACCAAGGCAGGTGTCAAAGCCAAGTCTTTTTTTATTGAATTTAAGGGGACTTGAAAGAAGAGAT